AAAAGTAATTTATTTGAACTCAATTCATTAATAACTATTGGAGAAATATTAAATTTTTAATAAATAATAAGATATAAAATGATATATCTATTTTTTTAAATGGGAATACATATAATTTTAAATGTATTTTTATAATTTTTCATTAAAAATATGACTCATGATCTTTGTTTACAATGAATATAAATTATATTTTAAGAATAATTTAATGACTAATATTAATTTGTGCCCCCATATAAAAAATTTTCTAGCTCGGTCACTATGTAAAATATCAAACTAAAAAAAAAAATTTTAAAAAAGTAATGACTGGTTGTGACGTATGAAATTTGATGTCGGAAATTTACAGGTGCAGGTGAGGGAAGTAGTGCTAGAAGACATGGATATCTCTAAAGCCATTGTGGACTACATAGCAACTAACAAAGTCCACAATGTTGTTGTTGGTGCCTCCAGTAGGAATGCTATCACAAGGTTTTAATAATCCAACCACTTCCCTCCCCACTTGAAATTAGAGAAATACAAACTTCCATTCAAGAAAATTAAAAACCATACATATATATATTTCTGTTGCAGAAAATTTAAAAATCCTGATGTGCCTTCGAATGTGGCCAAATCAGCTCCAGATTTCTGTACAGTGTATGTCATATCCAAAGGGAAGCAAGTAAGTGTTCGATCAGCAAGAAGCCCTGCCCCTGCTAATCACACACCACCGAGGCAAGCACAGCCGCTTACTGTAGCGCCGAGCAATCATCTTGGCTCGGATGATTCTATCAAGTAAGTCCCTTATAAGGTTTTGCCCCCCCTAGTTTATGATTTCTGGTTGCTATGAGTCCAAAGTCGAAAAAGTTCTCTACTTGTTGATAATCACTCAAAGATTTTTTTTTTCTGCATAACTTTCATAAACAATCTAAATAATTCATGCCTATATACTAATTCATCCATTGATGAACAATGAGAACAGAGCACCATTTATAAGAGGAAATTGGAGAGGAACAGTTCCACCACCACAAATTCCAGAGAGGAGGTCTTTTGAGAAAAATGAGCTGATGAAACCTCCAACAAGAGAAAGATTTGTAAATCCAATGAAAGGCTCACCATGTCATGCTTTGCATGACAGTCTTGACATCTACTGTTCCCAAAGGCCTGCAACTTCAACGCCTAGGGAATCCTTTTCAGAGGATTTTGATGTTCAAAGAAATATGGGATTCAGAGTTCCTGATTTCAGTGAGTCATTTGAGATGAATATGAGCAGCATCACTGACATATCCTCAACAAGTACTAATGTAAGTTTGTTCAATTCTAAAGCGGCTATTTGTTCAGAAAGTAATATTGAATTCAAATTATCTTTATTTAAACTTTGTTTAAGTTTTATTTAAAATAAAACAAACGTATACTATTAAAAAGCATGTACTTCATTTCCTTCTAACAGCTCATTATCATGGAAGAATTTTATAGGAAAGAACTTCATACTTACCATTCTACACAGGCAAATAGAGACATAGAAGCTGAGATGAAAAGACTGAAGCTTGAGCTGAAGCAAACCATGGACATGTACAGCACAGCGTGCAAGGAAGCAATCACATCTAAACTGAAGGTAAATTTTAGCCATTTTATCTAACACCTTATTAGTGCAAAGAACAAGCTAATCAGAATTTGATTTTTTTATCGAGATTAAAAAAAAGGAGATTTTAATGTACTTCTTTACTCCTTTTTTAGTTTATAAAAACAGAGTGTTTAAGAAAACTTCACAAGAAAATCATAATGAAATCTGTGACAACACTCATCTCTATCATTAGAGAGAAACAAACTGATCAAAATTTGTGATTTTTTCTTAACAAGGCAAAAGAGCTTCATGATAGGAAGATGGAGGAAGCTAGAAAGGTCGAGGAAGCAAAGTATGCAGAAGAAGCAGCTCTTGCTCTTGTAGAAAGGGAAAAGGCCAGATGCAAGGCTGCTATTGAAGCAGCTGAAGCAGCTCAAACCCTTGCAGAATTTGAGGCACAGAGAAGGTTAAATGCAGAGCTTAAGGCCAAGCATGAAGCTGAGGAGAAGTTGAGAGCTCTGAATGAACTGGCACTTAAGGATCAACGCTACAGGAAATACAATATTGATGAGATTGAGATTGCCACTGAATACTTCTCAGAATCACTAAAGATTGGGGAAGGTGGATATGGGCCTGTTTATAAAGCTTCACTAGATCACACTCCAGTTGCCATTAAAGTTCTGAGACCAGATGCAGCTCAAGGGAGGAAGCAGTTCCAACAAGAGGTAAGGGGTTGTTTATCTACAAGTAGAATTGTAGCAAAAACTGTTGAAAATAATGGCTCACTTCAATGCTATAAATGTCATTAACATGGACTAATATAAAATCTTAAATGAAGAGTAACACCAAATCTATTGCAGAAGCTAATTTTCTAGCAACTGGTTATATTATACATACTTTTAGCAAGTTAAAACTTGTTTCACCCTCTTCTTACTTAAAAAGTTAAAATCCTGATTGTCTCACCTCAGGTTGAGGTTCTGAGTTGTATAAGACATCCAAATATGGTCCTACTACTTGGTGCCTGCCCCGAGTATGGATGCTTGGTGTATGAGTTCATGGATAATGGAAGCTTGGAAGACAGACTATTCCGACGTGGGCACAGCCCTCCTATCCCATGGCCGGTGAGATTCAAAATTGCAGCAGAGATAGCCACTGCTTTACTCTTCCTCCACCAGGCTAAGCCAGAGCCATTAGTCCATAGAGACCTCAAACCAGCTAATATACTCCTTGACCACAACTATACCAGCAAGATAAGTGATGTAGGCCTCTCAAGGCTTGTTCCTCCTTCAGTAGCTGACAGCGTAACCCAATACAGAATGACTTCAACTGCTGGAACCTTCTGTTATATTGATCCTGAGTATCAGCAAACAGGAATGCTTGGTACTAAGTCTGATGTTTACTCACTTGGGGTTCTTCTGCTTCAAATTATTACTGCTAAAGGCCCAATGGGACTAACTCATATTGTAGAAAGAGCTTTAGAAAGGGGAACCTTAGTTGATTTGCTTGATCCTACGATAACTAATTGGCCAATGGAAGATGTTATAAGGTATACAAGGCTTGCACTGAAATGCTCAGAGTTGAGGAAGAAGGACAGACCTGATCTTGGGACTGTTATATTGCCAGAACTTAATAGGTTGAGAAATCTTGGTTTTGAATATCAAGCTAGTTGTAATAGTAGTAGCAACGGTAGCACTGATGGTGGAAGTTTTGGAGTGCATCAAAGAGCTAAATCTGCTTGTCAAATAGGTTTACCAACGGCCAAAAAAAATATTATTTGAGAATGGAGATTTAAAAATGTAAGGCTTTTTTTTTAATTATTTTTGACAGATTTTGTCAGATTTTTTAATCTATGATGTAACTCTTTTTCTTATCTTCTCATCTTTTCAGCACAAAAGCTATTGATGACGATTAATTCATATGGTATTTTACTATTTCATAAACTGTGAGACATTTTTTTTTTACCCACATGATTGGTTAGGATTTATTGATATAGATTGGATTCAAATTAACTCGAAACCTTGAAAACAATTTCTAAAATTTTTATCAACTACCATATATATTACAGTAACAATCATATGAAGTTTGTCAACTTATCATCTTCCAGAGTATATTACAAATTATATATCTCCATTAATTATGTGGATCAACTTATGGCTATCATTTTTCATACACATTCATTGCACATTATAACTTTAAAATATTTTACATATATAACGATATCAATCCATCATGTTGAATAGGTTAATATTAAATCAAGTGATTAGAATGCCTTTAGTGAAATTCCCATTTATAATACTTATTTCATTTGATGCATGTTATGATACACAACATCAAAATAGCCTAGAGTAAGACATGTAAATATTGACCCCTACACCGGAATGCATGCGAAACATTAAGTGACGTGCGCGTCAGCGCGGCGCATCACTTGAAGGATAAAACAACATCTGATTGTCAAATGATCTGCGCCGTTGCAATCAGAACGTCAAACTTGCCTAAGAGAGAACCTCTCTTAGTCAAATTGGAATACATACATATGAAATAAAAATGTGACGTTGATAAAATGACGTCCAATCACAAAATAAATTTCGTCATTTCGATAGGAACATCAATCATACCCAAAAATAACCATCCATTTGCTCAATTAAATTTGACCAGTGGAATCTGTACACATTCTGAGGCAACAACATGCAAATCGAGGAAATTGACACGTGACGTCACCCTAACGACGTTTGATCGCGTAATGGACTTTGCTGTTGCGTTCAGAACGTTGTCAATACCCAAAATAGATCATAGTTTTGTCCAACAAAATTTGTGTGCACAAATCGGCGATAATAATAATAAACTATTATTAAAATTATTGTCATTTTTATCTCCACCCTTCCCGTTAGGGGTGTCAATTTCGGGTTGCAATTTGGATTTGGGTCGACCCTATTTGGGTTGACCCAAACCCGACTCGTTTTTGCAAACGCATCAATTTGTTCAACATGGACCCGAGCCGTGGGGGTTTTGGGTTGACCCAACCAGACCCAGATTTATGAGAATTGGCTGAAGAAGCGCGAGTTGAGCCCACGTCGCTACTTCCAGTTCTGATTCACATTAATAATAAACGACCGAATGAGGTGAAGAAAGCTTTTAGTGACCCGTTCAATGCCCAACCACACATGGTCATGCCACACAAAGAGGTGGCAACGACTACGGGGGCGTGACTCACAAGAAGAGACGCGACGACTATGTGTCGGGAAACTCATGCGAAAAGATCAAAGAGAGTCAGAGACGAGAGTCACGCAACTCGATGCGTCGGGTAGCGCGGGCACTCAACGTGGGTAGGGTGGGAAGCAGAAGCGAAAAGACCGCTTTTAGGTCATTTTTGGTTTATGAGTCAACCTGAAACTGACCCAATTTTGATAACGTTCAATTTGTTGAACCAGAACCCGACCCATTTCACAAATGGGTTGACCATAACACGAAATTTTTTGGTCAGATTTTCAAATCGTGTCAAATATTTATCCCTCTACTTCCAGCCACATACCACACTGAAATAGCCCTATCAACGAACTTTTATTAGGTCCGGTGTAAGGACGTAGAGGAAGGTTCGGTCAGAGGCAAAATTCCGCCAAAAAACTCGGTATTGCTAAGTATTATTTGATAATAACGAGGAATACCGATCTATGAAGACCAATACCGAGTTATACCGAGCTATACCGAGTTGTACCGAGGAAAAACTCGGTACAACTTTTGTATAACTCGGTATAGCTCGGTATAGCTCGGTATAACTCGGTATTGGGTCTTAACGTGATGGTATTCCTCGTTATTGTTTGGTATTGCTCGGTATTTGCTCGATATTTCTCATTTTTTGGCGCTATTTGGCCTCCAACAGGACATTCCTCTATGTCCGGTCGGAGGACATAATAATTGTTCCCTATTAACACACCTCTCCATCCAGCCCATCAGCAACTAGCAACTTGTTACCCCTTTCTTCCCAACAGCCCACCTATAGATTACTCAACATCTAAATTTTGACTACAAACTCAGCCCACTCAAAGCCCATTTCCACCTAAGGTAAAAATCCTTGCAGTCTTTTAGTTGGTTATGGTTATGGTCATTGTTGATTATGATAATAATAATTATTATTAGAGTTAACAATAATTAATGCCATTATTAATGTTATTACTGATAATTGTATTATCATGAATGTGCTATTAGTTATAATGATATCATTGTCCCCAAAAAAAAAGAAGGGAGAAAATTCAAAAAAACAAAAAAGAATAAAAAAGATAAGGAAATTTAGAGAGAGAGAGAGAGAGAGAGAGAGAGAGAGAGAGGAGGAAGAAGAAAAAACTGAAGTGGTAAACTTGACACTAGTAAGTTTAATTCGTTGTTTGGTGCATGAAAATCTCAAACTTTGGGATGAGGTGCTTGAGCAAGCAGAATTTGCGTTCAATCCTATCCCAAATAGGTCGACGGGTAGCTGCCATTTTAGTATTATACTAAACCACCAAATATAGCTGTTGATGTTGCAGTTATTCCCAAGTGCATCAATAAAGTTGTTGCTACTCTAGCTGAACAATTTTTGGACATGCTACAGAACGTGAGGTTGAAGCTTCAGGACTCTAATCATAAATACAAACAGCAGATCATCGTAGGGAGAAAATCTTTAATCCTGGAGATCTAGTGTTTTTTAGAATGAGAAGGGAATGATTTTCTCAACAGTCATACTCAAAATCAGCCACCGCAAATTTGGACTGTTAATTGTTGTCCGCCAAATCAATAACAATGCTTATGTTATTGATTCACCCGTTGAGTTCAACACTTCACATACTTTTAATGTCATAGATATCTATCCATATTTGCCACTAGATGACAGTGGTGTCGCTATTGACTCAGGAGACATCAACATTCTTCGTAGAAGGGGCGAATGATGCAGAGCATGTTAGTTACCATTACCTGGCGGATTAATGTATTCACACATGTTTCATATTCTATAAGTTAGGAAAGCATACGACTACACATTATGTTGCTATTACTAGTATTATCGTACATGTTTTCCTTTTTTTTCTATGTTTAGGCCGTTTTAGTCCTCAGCTATTGAGAAAAGAATTACTTTGCTGAAGTTTGTAGTCGAAGGGAGTAGTTTTGGATATTCAATAAAACTTTGTTTTCTCAATATAGTAGCAACTCAGATTACAGTTCTATTATTAACTGTTTGCTTGCAGCTTTTACCGCATGATCCTACATTAGCTTAAGCATAATATGATAATATAAATAATCAATTTCATGATTTAACTAATTTCTCGATAAATATAAAATTATTGGATGTAAAATCATTTTGATAAAGTAAAAAAATAAAAAATAAATCAAGTGAAATAGCCTTTTTTTAGATTTAAACGAGAATTTGACTTTTAATAGGACACAATGGAGAAAAAGGATTCATGTAGCCGATCCCACGTAGTGGGATAAAGGCTTGATGTTATTATTATTGTTGTTGTTGTTGTTGTTGTTGTTGTTGCATTCTTGGCAACTATAATGTTATTAGAAGAATCTTATCTATTTAGTTTTTTACTTCGCCTTCTTCCTTAAAGGCGTTGGCTTTAACGTTAAAATTTGTGGAGAAAAAAGAAGGGTGAAAACAGAATGTGCAAGATACTAGTTTGTAGTTCCAATGGCGTCCTCCGTAATCTTCTGTTTCCGGATTCTTCTCCCTCTGGTGTTGGCGCTCGTCCTCTGGGCTCCTTTCCGGCAAAAAACCTATCCCTAGCTTCTTACCGGCGGCGGTGGAAGAGGAGTGGAACTTTATTCTCTTCGAAGCCATCGTCAGCTGAGCTCTCCGCTGCCGAGGAGGAATGGCTGAAGAAGCTGCCGGAGAAGAAGAAGCCCCTTTACTCACACAGCCTCCCTGGCATCGAGGCCTGGCTCAAGAAATTAGGTTTCAATCAAAGCACCTCTGACCGTGCTATCTGGTTCATTGAGAGGCCGGACTGGCACGCTCATCTATCCCTTGACGTAACTGATCTTTACATTAGGTCTGATTTGAGCTTCAATTTCTTCTTATCAGATTCTTTCTTATATAGATAAAATTCTTTGGATTTTTCGCAATTCATTTTTATAGCACTATAGCAACAATACTGTTGACATAGGCAGAATAGAAATAAAAGTTTGGGTCGAATCACTCGTATGTAAAGTATTGCATCTTCCTTTTGCTGATTCAGGACACAATCGATGGATCAGAAGTTCATTCTATGTTTCATGTATTAAAATGAACTATATTTTCCACTAGTAACTAAGGAGGCTGTTTTGTTGAAAGATTTAACTAAGATTTAGGTAGAATTTTGGCTAAATCTTGTCAATTTTTTTAAGTCACATAAATTTTACTGCATTCGTAAATTCCAAGTAAACTCTGAATTTATTAAATCTTGGGGAATGCAGGATTTACATCACTTCTTCACTGTGTATCTTCTTCTACTTTAGGGCTGTTTGGCCAGAAGTTGTGTTTAGTAAAGCCTGTGAGTCGAGAGTTAATAAATCTTGAGAGGATTAAAAACTAAAAGCTGTAGTACTAGTAACTATCGCCATTGCCCTCGGTTGATCATTATTAGGATAGCTGCTTAGTATTAGGAAATACCTGTTATATTTGTATCCAATAAACTGCTTCACGTGTACTACATCAATACCCTACTCATCTATTTATACTAGACTCTGTACCTACTAAACATTTGAATAATACAATATTATTTCCGCTCCTTCCTTTTCCCTCGTCTTCTCCGTCTCCGACAAGGCATCTCAACCGAAGGCTCTGCCTCACGATTTCTACATGGTATCAGGTCTCTCGTCTCCTCAAGAATGACGACCTCACACTCGGCTTCTTCCTCCGCCACCGAGCAGCCATCCATCACTCTGGTGGAAAACTCTCCAATATCTCATTCACTCAAGTTCGTTGTCTCTAATCTCAAAACCCTCGTCCCGAATCAACTATCTTCCGACAACTATCCGATCTGACGTCACCAGATCCTCAAGCTCCTTCGCGCAAATGATTTTGAGCAATTTCTTGCTCCTCGCAGTTACTCCGGTGACTCATCTGATCCGTCGACGGCTTCCCTAATCAAGAACTGACGTATTACCGATTTGAACCTTCAGGCGGCGATCTGCTCGACGATCTCTCCGACGGTGTTGCCCTACATTATACATCTTGATACGACTTACGACATTTGGCAAGTTCTTGAAAGCCAATTTCAGGCTACAAGTCGATCTAAGGTGATTCAACTCAAAAACGAGCTTCACCATGTCTCTATGAAAAATCTTTCGATGATCCAATACCTAACTGAGATCAAGAAGCTCGTCGATCAAATTGCTTCCGCCGGATCCACCATCGACTCTGAGGACATCATCTTGTATATCTTGAACGGGCTAACTCCGGCGTACCAATCATTCAAGACATACATCCGCAATTCTCCCTCCCCTATTCGGCTTGAAAATCTATATGTGATGATAATTAGTGAAGAAATTCACGCCAATTCCGACGCCGCTCGCATCTCCACCGACACCTTGCAACAGGCCGCTCTGTATGCAAGCAGGGGACGCGGCCGCCGGACCAGAGGCCGTTCTACGCAATCTTCGAATCCCAACAATCGCTCTGGACAACAGCAGCAGGCACCCATCTGCCAGATTTGCTCCAAGAAGGGCCATACGGCCGACGCTTGCTGGCATCGGATGAACGCCAACTATACTCCACAGACGACTACACCTAAACATAACAGCGCTCTGGTGGCGAACTCCGAAGCCCCATCATACGATTGGTATCTCTACTCCGAGGCCTCTTCCCACATGACCAACTCGGTCGACGACCTCTCTCAATCTACTCCATACCCTAGCTCCGACGGCATCTTCATCGGGGATGGAAGAAACATTCCCATTGCTCACTCGGACACGGGCATTCTTCCCACCCCGAACCGTAAGCTTCGTTTATCAAATTTACTTCATGTTCCTGACATCTCCCATAACCTCCTCTCGATTTCGCATCTCGTCAAAGATAACAACATTTCAATTACTTTTGATCCCACGGGTTTTGTTTTTAAGGATCTGACGACAAATCAACAGCTACTACGAGGTCCATGTAGCGACGGCTTGTACAAGATCACGCCGACTACCACCGCCCAGCATCACGAATCCTCCTTTCAGGCGTCCAAGAACTCGACCTCAACATGGCATGACCGCTTGGGACATCCTCATCTCAGAACTCTGCAACGCATCTCTCACCGCAACCCTACATTACGTATTTTACATTCTACTGAACCGTGTATAACATGTATTCAATGTAAAACTCACAAGCTTCCTTTTGAGTCTTCTCAATCAAGAACACACAAACCACTTGAAATTGTGCACTCAGACGTATGGGGACCATCCCCGGTCTTCTCCGTTCAAGGTTTTCGTTTCTTTGTTATCTTTGTAGACGATTATTCCCGCTATACGTGGATTTTTCCGCTTGTGCATAAGTCTGATGTTACAAATACCTTTATACATTTTACAAAGTTCATAGAAAATCAAACAAACAGTAGGATCAAAACCATCAGGACCGACGGCGGGACAGAATTTACAAACCATCAGATGTAATCCTTCCTTATCTCTAAAGGTATTAGGCATCAATCGTCCTGCCCCTACACCCCAGAACGAAATGGGGTGGCCGAACGCAAAAAACGTCACATTGTGGAAACTCTCCGATCGCTCATCCACAAAGCTTCGGTCCCGCCCCAATATTGGCTTGAAGCCAGCTCCACGGCCGCGTATCTGATCAACAAGATGCCCTCTCCGAACACGCACAACAAATCGCCGCTGCAACTCCTGTTTCACATCACACCGGATTACAAACACCTCAGGACCTTTGTATCATACCTGATGAATCTTGTTTCCTTACTGTTCTAGCACTGACAAGTTGAAATTGCGGTGTGGATGCATGGCTTCTCTTATCACTACCTTGCCTCAGGGTCTCTAAATCATCCCAGAGGCCCCCAATGACCCACACATTGCTTCGCAGCAGTGCCTCAACACTTGATAAATGAATAGAGGCTCCCCTAGAGAGTATGTATCGCTCCACTTTATTTCCAAAGGGGCATCGGCTACTTATCACATCAAACTTCTCCATAATAAAAGATGTTGTTGAGTGGGAGATGACTCTCCACAAACTTCCACCATGACCCACCATTTTTGGAGTACCATCAGGGTTGTCAGAAATTGGCCGTGGTCATTCCTTTTCTGGATTGGGAGAAGACTGGAATTTGCTCTCATTTTCTCCTAGATGTTGTTGGAAACTTCCGCGGCCTCTTGCTACCATTTTCTCGTCTTTGCCATTATACCTTGATTTCGTTGAAGTCTTTATGCTGGTGGTGGAGAGTTGTGGTATCAGAATTTAAAGATATGATGTAGCAAAATCTGACATGATTTATTTCAGTTTGGTTCATATTGGATAGACCAATTCAAGCTTTATTGATGATTATTATTATTAAAGACGTAGCTCCACAATGCATGTTGATTATTATCCACATATTTTAAATGTCTATGTCCTCAGGGTTACATTGATTAGAACTATCTTGGCACAACTATTGAGGCTAAATGGTGAATCATAGACATCTGATTATTATGTACGCCAATCAAGCATTTTCATGTAAATAATTCCTTCATTTATTTAAATGCAAGGTCTCTAAGTCAAATTTCTTCATATTTACCCTCTTACAGTTTTTATCCTCTTGGACTCTCATTTTGGAGAACTATGAGCCTTAATAGGCCAAAGTTTGACAAAGATATAGGAATCCCCTAGAATCAAGAGGATTGTGCAGAATGATTTAGCTCGTAGTTCAATCAGAGGAGATTGTCTAGAATATTGTCAATAGAATGTTTGAGAGTTTTGAATTTTTTTTCAGATTTTGACTTGTTCTAAATCTCAACGTGATGTAGAAATCCTTCCTACATTGGAAAGATTTTTTTGGATTGTCAACAGAGGGAATTTTAAAATAGGGATAATTTGCTTGGATCATAAAATTCTTATTTTTTTAAGCATAATTTTTGACACAAATGGCTACCATTTAGGAGGCAACCACACAGCAGCAACCAACACCAACTATTGGGGATATAATGACAACCTTGGTGCATTCACCATATCATTAACACGGCATTCTCCATTATCATGTGCTCTTTATTTGTCCATTTATTTTGAATGATCTTAACTTCTTTTAGCTGTTCTGCCTTGTACACTAATTTTTGTTGTTGGCTGTTTGATTTTGTATGGATCATAGACGAGAGGATATAAAATGACGAAACACTCTCTCCTAGATGGTTGTAATATTGTTGTAGATCTACTATCCCAAAATTTGCTGGTGGTGACCTCCACAGCTAAACTGCATCGAATGTCTGGGCTATGCCTGTTTCTAATGAACGGGAGTTGGTTGTCCTTAGGTCAGGCCTCCTTCAAATATATTTTAATAATGGGAGACTTTGATCTTCATTATCCATTACAAATAAACAATTAAATTAAATAAGGATCATATAGCTTTAAGAAATTTATAAATTAGGCTTAAATTCAGCTCATTTAATTTGAATTTATTTATGATTTGCTCACAAAACTTTCCTCATAATTGATGACATGCTCTTTGTGCATTTTGTTGATAGATGTCTTGCATACTGCATTGATTGAGGATGGATGTGTCGCTCATTGCAGTTAGTCCTCTTTGATCGTGCCTTCATTGCACTTTATGTCAACAATCATATCTGTAATTCCATTTGCAAATGAAAATCATGCCACTTGGCTTTTGTTGTTGATGGTCGTCACGCTCGTTGCATTCGCCAGTAGAGGACAAGCGGCTCGTTGCTAATAGCAGACAACTACTAAGCCATTCACTGATGCTTGTTGTTAGCAGACAACTATTAACCATGGATAACATGTCCATTCACATGTAACCCGATGATATTGTCTTCTCAACTATCATTAAAACATTCTAAGCTCGCCAAAAACGGTTTGCAAGCCATTTCAGTGTTGATCGCTATGTCTGTAACAATATGGTCAATATCATTGCGAATTCTTACTATTCACGTGGACACTACACTAAGTATTCAATAGGCTTTGGTAATTTTGATTTGGATTCTAATTACACATGTGGGCATTACACTGTACGTGTATGAAGGGCTCATTTGATTGTTTGAGAAAATATTGATTTTATTTTCACTCATTGTATGTGTTAAAATGAAGTCATCATGTTCTTGGGACTTTTGAGAAAATTGTGTAATTTGAAATTAATATTTGCGTCTAAGATTTCGTTTGGGACGACTTTTTTATTGTTTCTTAAAACAGAGTTTTAGTAAAAAATTTGTCTAAATCATAGCAATGATGGATTTAACAAACTTCATAATTTAAAGTCCAAGCAATGAAATAAACCCAAGAAGAAGTGAATTTCTTAAAGACTTAAAATGTCAGCTGCATAAATCTGAAAGTTTCCAGGCTAATTAATCTAGCCTCTCCTAGGTTTCTGTTTGTTATCATTTTGAAGCTAATTACATAGAATCTGCAATTATTTTTATTTGCTACATAAATTTGAATGCTCAGCTGCTTTGTTGAATAATAATCATCGATTGTTAATATTCTTTTCTTTGGACTGGCTTCATGTGTTGAAATTAAGGTACATGAAAATTGGACCTGGTAACCTTGATAAGGATGTAGAGAGGAGATTCAGTTATGCATTGAGTAGAGAAGACATTGAGAATGCTATTCTTGGAGGGCCTTAAAGAGGACAAGGTACATGTCTGTTTATTTCTGTTCTAATTGTTAACTGTATTCTGTCCTATATAAACTAATGTTTATGATGTCATAGATAGAATGATAGCTTCAAACAACTATGATCAACACTTTGCATATTCTTTCAGGATTGGAGCTCATCAATGGGATGAATTATGATTCTGGAATTCACTCTTCCATGATTTTCTGCATCCGTAGATCCTTATAGATTATTCATTTTAACAGAACATTCTTTATTTTCTTGTTATATCGTTTATGGTGGCTTGTGAAACGCAATATTTGATGTCTTTTGATGATACTCAATCTCTCTAAATTCACCAGTCCAATTATTGTAAATTTCTGATCCCAATCTGTCTCTATTCTCTGAATTCTTAGGTATCTTAATGGCTTTCATGTTTCCAAGTTGTCTCTAGTTTTTTGAGTTCAGTCTTGATTGGCTACAGCATGTTATCTTGCTATCAACTTTGAAGCCCAACTGAATACAGTATCAAGTTAACAATATAGGTCACCTGGAGTTTTTTTTCATGCAATGAATAAGATGATTTTGTTAAGTTGTGGAGCTTAATGTTTGTCCTGCGAAGAAAAAGCATTGCACAAATTTTAGTTTTGTTTGGAACGGCTTTCTTACTGCTTCTTAACGCAGCTTTTTAGTAAAAAAAATTAATTTTTTTTACATTAAAAAGCTGCTTTATGAAGCAAAAAGAAAGCCATCATAAACGAAGCCTTATGCTTCATTTGTGATGGCTTTCTTATTACTTTCAAAAGCAGCTTTTACGGTTTCTAAGCCCTAAATTTAATGAAAGCATCGAAAAAACAATTGTCAAAAGCTATCTCAATGGAAGCCTAAGGCTTCGTTTGGGACAACTTTCTTGTTGCTTCTTAAAACAGCATTTTAGTAGAAAAATTAAAATTTTTGTACTAGAAAGCTACTTTAAGAAGCATTAAAAAAGTCATCCCAAACGAAATCTAAATCTTAGATTGACTTTTGCCATAATATTCTTGCAATGGTTAAAAGAGGGGTGGCTGCCAAACATATTAAATCCATATTATATAATTTGTAATAATTTTATATATTTTTTATAGCTGCAATAATTATTTATAGTTTTTTTTTTGTAATTTTAATCTTAACATTGGAAATACTTAAAAAAATCATGAATGACGCTACAGTTGCATCCCTTATAAAATATTTTTATTTTTTAAAATAAAGAAAATGCTAAATTTCTCGAATTCAATTGAAATCAAATTGAAGTTTTTTTTTTTTTTTTACCCGAAATTGATTTTAAATTTGGCCCCAATTAATATTGGTCGAGCCTCATTTACTCTTCTTAAGAAAAATCAAATAAAACAATTTCCTCTCTTAATTATTAAAAGGGTTATAATAATTTTAATTTATTTAAGTATGATGTGAATTTAATTATTGATCTATTTTTAAAATTTATATTATTAATCAAACGTTTTAATATTCAATAAAATATTGTTAATCTGATAGCAGTTAATCTCAAAACATTAAAATAAAATAAATCAAAATAAACGTATTAATAAGTCGCTACCGAGTCAGAATTCGTGTCCGTAATGGGTTTTGAGTATAAAATGGATTCGGGTCGAATTATCGGGTTGGGGTTTTCCAAATAGGATCGGAAGGGGTCTGCTCGACAAAGATAGCGAAAGTGTCGCAGATTCTCGATAATCCGGCGAGAAATCAGGAACTGAGAAGGCTGTCTTCTTCTTCTTCAAGGTCTAGCTGTTCTTTGTTTTCTTTTTGTATGAGCTTATCGAATTTGTTGTTAGTTATACTCGCTGCTTTATGAATCTTATCTTATCAAACCCTACTATGATGGACCCAAAACTACTTATTTCATCACAAGGAACCACTCTTTCAGCTTCTTCGCCCCTTTTTCCCTCTTGCTCGTTCTCTTCTCGCTGCAAGCTCTTCAACTCCGCAACAACCCCACTCTCATGTCCCATTTTATCGTCCAGAAACACCTCATTCTTTGGCCGAAATTCCATCTTGGGAGAGAAGAGGCCTCAATTTCAGGTGCAGGGAGATAAAAAATGGACCTTTTTTCCCATAAAAGCTGCTGTTAAGTGGAGGAAAGAGGTTCCTTTCGATAGCGTTATCCAGCGGGATAAGAAGCTGAAGCTGGTACTGAAGATCAGGAGCATTCTTGTGAACCAGCCCGATAGGATAATGAGTCTTAAAAATCTGGGTAAGTTCAGAAGAGATCTTGGTCTGACCAGAAAGCGTAGATTCATTGCTCTTTTGAAGAGATTTCCGGGTGTTTTTGAAATTGTTGAGGAAGGAGTTTACTCTCTCAAGTTCAGGATGACGCCTGAAGCTGAACGTGTCTATTTGGAGGAGTTGAGGATCAGGAATGAGATGGAAGAGTCCGGTATTGTGAAGCTAAGGAAATTGTTAATGATGTCACTAGACAAGAGAATTCTCCTGGAGAAGATCACACATTTAAAGACTGATCTGGGTCTTCCATCTGAATTTAAGGAAACAATTTGTCAGAGGTATCCTCAGTATTTTAAGATGGTGTTCACTGATCGTGGTCCAGCTCTGGAGTTGACTCTTTGGGATCCTGCTTTGGCAATCTCAGCTGCTGAGGTTGCTGAAGAAGAGAATAGGATTAGGGAGATGGAGGAGAGAAACTTAATTATGGAGAGGACTCCTAAGTTCAGAATTGTAAAACTGCCAAGAGGTTTAAATCTTTCCAGGGGTGAGACGAGGAGAATTTCTCAATTCAGGGAAATGCCTTATATATCTCCTTACTCAGACTTTTCACAACTGAGATCTGGTACCGCTGAGAAAGAAAAACATGCATGTGGCGTGGTACATGAAATACTAAGTCTCACACTTGAGAAGAGGACACTAGTAGATCATTTGACCCACTTCAGGGAAGAATTCAAATTCTCCCAGCAGTTGAGGGGAATGCTGATCAGGCACCCGGATATGTTTTACGTGTCGTTGAAGGGGGAAAGGGATTCTGTTTTTCTTCGTGAAGCCTATCGCGGATCACAGTTGGTTGAGAAGCATAGATTATTGCTGCTCAAGGAAAAGATGCGTGCTCTTGTCGCTGTTCCAAGATTCTCAAGAACCCCAGGATCGAAGGTTGCTAACCAAGAAAAAAAAGTGCCATTGGAGGAAGCTGGTGGTGAAGATGATTCTAAAGGATGGTCTGATGTGGATGACATCTTAGCAGAGGCTAATGAGTCAGGAGATGATTTTGATGAAGATGATTGGAGTGATGAAGAAGATGAAACCCCTCCAGATTTTGATGATGGTGATAAATTAAGTTTAAATAGAAAGGAAGTGCAAGTTGATGGTGCTTCCAAAATATTTAAAGACAGAGAATTTATTCCTACATTTCTGGATGGCACTCCTAGAGAACGCTGGTGATTGTTATTTAAAATATATTTCTTAAAGGCTTGAACAATGGCCCTATGAGAGAGGAAAAAAAGGGAAGGTGCAATTTTTTGTATGAGCGCTCACTAGCATATGTAAGTATCACCTTTAGTCATACTGACTTTGTTATTGAATCACTTGCACTCATTTATAAAATTTGAAATCTTTGGACTTAATCACGATGCATCTTCTAGCTTACATACTATTATTCATATGATGTTTTCGAAAATATGTACTACAATTTGCACAGTATATGATTTCAATTGCACAATAAGATAATTATATTAGATCATTATGTAAGTACAGAGGCTTTCAAATGGCCTATAATCTAAAAATGGGTATCTGATGATATATTATATTTATTAGTGAAATGCATGGATAAAATTAGGCTTCTAAAAGATTTTCTATATGCCATTCGATCATTTATATATTTTTCACATGGCTGGTGAATGGTTAAATCATCATGAAAAATGAATGAAACTCAGTCTACATGTAATCTGTTAGAAATTGAGATCAATGTATGATATTCAGTTTGAATATTATATAAAGCGGTTCATGTAAAAATAAAATTAAGGTAGAATACAGTTATTTTCGGAGGAAAAAAGTCCATCTCTTATTTATGTTCATTAGAGTCAAAGACATTTGAATAGCTGCTAAGTGTTGAACCATAAAAAAATAAATTAATGCTTTTCTGGTTCAAAAACTCAAAGATAGCATAAATTACCAGCCAAGGACATGGTGAATATATAAGCAAATAATTAAACAACATATGTAATGTAAGGAAGGCAAATACATACCCCATCATAATCAATGAATTGCATAATGGTAAGCAAAAAAAAAAACATACGTCATGAGAAGCAATAGAGAAATTAAATAAAAATGTGAAACTAACTATTTAACCACTGAAAATAATCACTTTCTAACATAAGGAAAAAGTCCAATTATCTAGGCTGCTGATACCAATCAGGATACCCGCATGAGGCTAACATGCATTGGCTTGCAATCTTTATAATTAAAACCCAAATTAGCAAGAAAATGAACAACTTCATTATAGATTTATGATTCAATATAGAAGACTGTCAATGTTTAAATTTACATTTGATGCTAAAAATGTCCTATATTCAAGGCACATTGTTATATAAATAGTGGATCAAAAGAGCAATATTGACCTCAATGTGAATGTTAGCAGTCAAAGAATACTCCCATGATTTCAGCATTGTTAGAACTAGTATGGATAAAATATTCATAGAATGATAAAACAACATTACTCAATTATTTTACAGTACTGCCAGAAGCACATTACTCTATATGCCAACTTTATTAAGTTTGAAAAAGATGGTTTTTAGTACAACCAGCAAGTTCAATATGAGAAGCAAAGTTGGTCACACCCCTGAAGTCAGCCATTTTGAGCAAGTCAGTAGCTTTCAGGAAAGAAATCTCTTTATAAATCATATTGATAGTGCAAGCCTTATTTTCGGTCTTCCAAATAAACCAACAAATCAGGCAAAAATCAGATAAACAGAATGTATGTCTTACAAGAACAACCAAATCAATTAACAACTTTAGGAAACAAGATTTGATGACATCATTATAATTTTGAGCAATGTTTAAAAACTAGCAAAGTGATTCTAAATTTCCCTAAAACGTCCCCACTCATATATTGTAAAGAAATAAGTGGGTGATCGTCTCAGTATGCATCAACATTGGCATTTAGATGACCAAAAGGATATCTCTCCATTGCATAACAAATTCCACATAGTTGTATTCTTTAAGGAGCCTTCACCTTAAAAATAGAAATATAAACAATAATTGATGAATTCTGGACAGTTATTGATATAGAAACAATGCAAATCAACATAACACTTATCCTGTTACTTCAAAGTTGAAAGAGTTATCAGTCCCATTGACGCCAAAAATTGTACAAGAAGATAAATAACCTAGAACTAGTAATGAGATGCCTTGTTAAAGTTAAAGAGGTTCAGATGTTGATGTGGCTGTAGCTTTCTTGATGGGAAAGAAGAGGACAACAACTTATGGAGGTGGAAGTAGTATTTGGATTTGGAAAAGAGAGCTAATTTATATAGAATTGAGAGACCTTTGAGTGCCATTAGTAAATATGATGATATTATCAATGACGGATAAGAGAAATACAAGCGTTTTACAAAAATAAGTTGTATCTAATAGAAAGGTTCTTCCAAAATAACTTATTGAGGCCAAGTTAAACAACAAAAACGAAGAGGGGAGGAGAAATCAGTCCGACCTACCCTAAACACTTAGATTTGAAGTCAAATCATTAATTTTTTCAATAACTTTACAAACAAAGCTGAATTTATCTACAATTGATATAAGAAAGGCCATTGAATTCTGTCCTGAGTTTTAATCATATTTAAATTGATTGCAACATTTTATGCTCTTTGCTTAAGATTAATAGCATGTATCAATATTTGGGCAAGAATTATTATTATCCATACCTTTTCTCTCTTGATAACCCCACTACGGTTGTTGGGGGAAATGAGCTTACTTAAGGGGCAAAGCACTCAATAGTTTGTTTGATTGCTATTAAAGTAAATAAATTTGGGTTGAAGTATAGAGTATGATGCTTCAAAATGCTTAAACTAGAATGAGAAGCTTTCACATGGATGGAGGAGATTTCATAAAAATAACCTGCAATTAGATTTGATATGACCAATAGTGGTGTTTCTTTTTATGGTTCTATACACTAAAAACTGAAGAGAGAAGGTTGCACTTTTGTTTAGGGTCTTGTGAAACTTGTCTTTTAGGTTGATAGTTGCTTCATTAACCCACAGAACTTGCCTCACAATGAATGCAACTCAAAGAAAAGGAATGAAAAAGTAATTAAAAAAACACAATCAGTCGATAGAGCATCTTAATAAATGCAACAAAAATGGCTAATGAATACATTTTATGATATATCATGCAAGATATCTATATAAGAGCTAAAAAAAGAAAACAGAGGAATGAAAAGGCAGATTAAAACTCTAAATTAATCTCAAGTCCTGCACTTGAAGAGTATCATAACCTTGAATTGTTTCAGGCTTCTTACCTGGTCAGGGACCCAATAGATATTGGGTGCACTGCAGAGCCCTGCATTGGGTACCCATAGTCACACCCACTCATATACTCATCCATGCCCAATGGGTATGGGTGGGTATAGGTATGCCCATGACCTTGTCGGTGGATATGGGTGGGTACTCAACGTAGAGGGATAAATCGATTTACATTGCTAATCATCATATATCTTATATTACTGCAATCTTCACTACATAGTGTGTAGAACTTAACCATGCTGCGACTACGTTATATTTTGATTTGCGGCTTGAAAGTTTGCAATCAGAGCCAAAGGCAACAAGCCTCAAAGCCATCAGTCTGTGGCAGATTGCATTAAAAAAGCATGGAAAGTTGGTGAGTATAGGTTGGTACGGCATCCCGAAAGTAACCATGGGTGGGCGAAGCCCGTCCGAGTAAAGTATGGGTACCCAATAGATACCCAACCAGGACCCCATGTAGGGCTTTGGGGCACTATTATCCACCAAGGCCTCATTTTGTTGATTGAAAATAAGTTTATTTTGTATCATTTTTTTTAAACGAGTGGCTCACAAGTTGAGTAGTCCAGCCAGAGAGATGAATCAAGTTTGACTCAGGTATCTCATTGAGCACAACTCGCATTTATCGAGCTGAGCCCCGGACCTGTTCTTTTATTGGCTTAACTCAGTTGCACCTCACAACCCTTTAGCTATTTGGCCCTTTATGCTGTTTTATGTTGTAGCTAATCTTAACGAGCAGTTTAGACAAAGTTATGGAGCTTAAATGCAGGAATGTTCCTTATGGTTATACGGATCAATTATGGAGTTAGGATATGTTAATACGAGTAAAATATCTTTATATTTGGCTGGCCATCTCTCTCTCTCTCGTCAAAACGGGAAGCTTATAGATTAGATGGAAAGATAGAATGATTGGACCTTATGGCTTCTTCTTAAGAAGAAATAACAAACTTTTTTTCCCCTATGAACATGCTCATATTCTCATTCACCATCACTAATGTCACCTATGTTGTTGCTCAGCTGACTATAGCTGTTGCTCTAATACTTCCATTGAGAGGTGGGGCCAAACCAATCTAAATCTTTTAAATCAAATGATTAAATATGTATTGTATCATTAATTTAAAGTAATTTTTGCTTTTTATACATTATTAATATTTTTTTACTAAGTAAATCTAAGACATATATAGTTTCCAACTACTAAGAATTTTAGTGAACCTACAAAAAAATACATGCCTAAATTATTTGCTTTTGAGATTTCCTTAGTCTCTTTTATTTTATTTTTCCGTTTGAAAGATACATGAGTGAAACAATCAACTTATTTTTATTAGAAGATTAAAAAGATATTTGAGTTTATTCTTTTTTAGTCCATTAAAATTCATGTGCCATCATAAGAAAATTTAATCATTTTAAAATAATTAGTAGTTGACTCTTTTTATTTATCATATTATTTATTTATTTATCATCTTTAAGAATTAATTAACATGTAATTAATTTTTTTTCTAGTATAGCATGACCCGAATTTAACTCAAATTTTAAAATATTTTGGATTTAGCTTATTCTATTTGAAATTATGAATTTCATTATTAAATTCAAAATTATATATACTTAAGAGAGAGAGCAAACAACAGCCGCACATAAGGAAATGAGATGAGCCTTCCCTGCAAACTTATGCTCTCCGCTCTGCCGTCGGAGCAATCGATAGGACGGTGTTTCATCAGAACCCTCGTGATCAGAACAAGAAGAAGAGGAAGAAATGGGCGATTCGGAAGAACGCCAAGCCCTACTGTCGGCGCTTATAGCTCTAAAGTTGTTGTATGCGGGCTTCTGCCCACGGATCCATGGTCTCCGGCAGTCGATTCACAGAGCATAGCTTCTCAGCTCTTCGCAATCTCGCTGTTCCCTTACCTCGGTTTCCTGTACTACATCACTAGGTCAAAAACCGTCCCCAAACTCACTCTCTTCGGTTTCTACTTCTTGCTCGCTTTCGTCGGCGCCACAAGTATATGTTCATTTCCTTATTCCCTTTCTTAAAAGTTCATTTCTTTCTCCTTGTTCTATCTGCTGCTTTTGATGTTTGCTTATGCGTTTGAAAATAGGTGAAATCTACCTATATATAGAAACTTTTTAGGAGGTTTATGATTTTGAAATCATAATTTTTTTTTACCAATAATATATCATTTTGTAAACAGTAACTAACCTTCTCCTATTATGTTCCATGGCTTCTTCTTCTTGTTCATCAACCAAGTACCTGCTGGAATTTATGGTAAATTCTTTTTTTTTTTTTTCTCATACTTTGATTCAAAAGTTATATTCTTCTCCAACATTGAAGTTGCTGTTGGCAGCAAAGCTGGAGTATGGGACCTCATTGGCCAATGTTGATTGGCTGCATGGTGGTGCAGAGTCATTGCTTACTCTTACAAATCTCTTTATCGTGTTGGGGCTGAGGGGAGCTTTGAGAAAAATCAATTATTCAAAGAAAGACGCAGCTAAATCTCTTTCAGATATCACAGAAAAGCAGTCCTCTGTGTAGATATTTGTCTATCCATCTTATTTCTTTACAGCAAACCATTGTTATGACTTTTGATGGATTTAATAAAGTGTTTCGACATTTTAATCTGATGCTTCGTAAATTCAGTGATCTTACAAGCTTGTGTCATGATACATAGAAAAACTATTATTAAAAATCACTGTAATGAAAACAATCTCTGGATAATCAATATTAATGCCAAGCTTTCAAGTACTATGGATCAATTGTTGCAACAACAGCATCCATAACACACACAAAAAAAAAAAAAAACTGAAATGTTTAAACAAAAAGTATCCAAAAGAGTTTGGCAATACTAAGACAGGTAGATCTAAAACCTCCAAAGCCTCACAACTGAATGAGTAATGCATAAAGAAAACTTTGCACCTGAAACAGATCAAAAGTAGTATTTAGCAAACCACAGCAACCCAAGAAAGGGAATAAAAAAAAGGGGGGTATTAAAAGCCATCAAAATCATTTTGTCGCGAGGAATAAAGCAAAACAATAAATAAAACATCAAATGTAAATAACTATCAATAATCTATGAAGCAGTATAGAAGATTATTTGCTCCATGATGTATACAACGCGGGGATCTATGCAGCAGTTCAGACCATACAGTATTGGTTTTTTTTTAATGCAGCAGCCACATTTTTATTTTCCTAAACTATTTACTATTTTCGGAATTTTTTCGATCAGAGCTTTTTATAACCAAATTTATTAGGATTTGATAATTACAAGAAACTGTTTAATTTGGACTTTTTTTCAAGATAGTTCTCAAGATTTTTAAAACTATAATCAGGAAACAAAAAAGATATGAAAGAATAATGAAACCTGAGCTTAAAATCTTTTAGACAAATTCAAAGAACCGCTCCGATTTTAAGTCAAAATGATACATTATGAAATCGATTTTCCTAAGAACAATTAATTGAAAAGCACACAGACCAAATGAACCATGTGATTTTTTTTTTTTTTTGAGAATTATATAATTGAATATTGCGGTTGAAATATTCAAAATGACTGCGGCATACATTTTTTTTTCCTAATATGAAGGTAAACATGCATAAGCAGAAGAAAGACAATGAAACGATGGAGTGAATAAAATGTATTGAAAAGTGAGTTGTTTGAACTTTGATGAGCCAGAAAACTGTTCCTAAAATTACTTAATCCATGTCAAAATAGATTTTCAGGTTGGGTTCGGGTCCAACCGGAAATTGACCCGGTTTTAGCTCGCCTAACTAGAACCCGACCCGACTAGGTAAATGAATCATAAACTAGGACCCAAACTCGACCCGAGTACAATCCGACTCGACATGACCGACCCACCGACCCGGGCGAATGCAGGAGGACAAGCAAGACGGGGACGCAGTGTGACCGGGTGAGCGAGACTATGCGAGCGACAAGCGCGAGTGTGAGGCAAGGATGCAGGACAGGGAGGCAGACGCAGGACTGGATGGGGACGCAAATACAGACGTGAGTCGAACTTGAGTCGATTCCAAGTCAGCAGGTTGACCTGAATACAACCTGATTTTTAAACGGGTCACACTAACGCGAATTTTTCGAGTCGGGTTCAGGCCAAATTTTTCGGTAGTGTCCTTAATTTACACCCCTAGATACAACTAATAAATTAATTAATAGCTTACAATTATGTTTTTCTAACTAGGAACATGACTTATAATTAAATAATTCATATTTCTAGTATACAAAGGACATCAAACCAAATAAGGGCACAATTCATAAAATCACTAGTTTAGTCGGGTATACTCGAAGTTACTTAACAGGGTATATATATTTCCAAATAATAAGCATATATTAGGTGAAGGTGGTTTTAGTTGGGGATATTTATGTGTTCCTAACTAGGAACATGCCTTATAATTAACCAATCCATATTTCTAGTATAAAAAGGACATCAAAACCAATAGGGCATAATTTATAAAATCATTAGTTTAGTTAGGTATATGGCAAAGTCGCTTAACAAGGTATATATATTTCCAAATAAAACATGTATGATAATAAGCATATATTAGGTGAAGGTGGTTTTAGTTTGGAAATATTTATGTTCATAATACCAAAATTTTCTTTATTTATAAAACTAACATCTAGGATTTTAAAATGAACTATCAAACATATATATTTTCGTGTGTTACAGCTAAACCATTGAGAGTTTAATAAAAAAAAAAAGTTGAGGTTTTGTTGTGTTATTCAATATTTAGGAGAATTATTATTGGTGTTAGTTTTATAAAATGTTATGTATGTAATTTCCCCTTTTACTTTTTATGTTAACTTGGTTGAATTCTCAAAGATACATCAAGTAAATCTAACAAGATCCACAAGAAATTTACAATATGAAATGCACTTGTAAAATGAGATTCATATAAGTTAACAGTAACAACTAAATCAAATTTGAATGCGCTTATACAATACAATTTACAAACTAATCATCATGATCTTCAAGACTGTTGAAATAACAACTAAATCAAATTTCAAGTTTTCTGTAAACGTGTTACTCATACATTGCTTTTAAAAAACGTCCATAGAACAATTTTGACCGGGCAACAAATCCAATTTCAATAGTGCTACTAAGAATGGGCTACATTTGCTTTAATTAGTGGAGATAGTTGTATATATATCTTAGAAGGATTCCTGAGTATAATTGAGCAATCAATATTGTTCAATGAAGAGAATCGCAGGAAAAAAAAAAATACTCCAATATCAAACCTATATATAGTCGTGGCTTTGGTGCAACATATCTATCTTATTGAAACATGTACAGACACAAAATCAACATTGAATTAAGAATCTTGATGGAAAATTATACATTAGTTCATTTCTATCAACTTATACACACCTGAATTACTAATTTCTGTACAAGTTCATGAATTTGAAGACAAAGAAGATCAAGGTTCATGCGTTGATCAGCTACTTCTACATGCTAACTCAATGATAAAGATTATAATTCAAGGAATTAGCCATAGCACCATTCACCTAATTTTTGTGCCACTCTGTATACATCAATTGTTATTCAAATCAAGAGAAAATTATCATAAGATAGGGCCACGCTGAACAAAACAAAATAAATTTCTAATTACAACTTCAGTCCTGCTGGAGTTGGCAACCAGAAAACCAACAACAACATAATGAAAAGAAACAAATAACCAAATAAAGCATATGTAAAATGCAACAAGGAAGACAAAATAAACTCACCTCAAATGTTGCTTGGATACATAAAAACTCTGACTTTACGGCCCTAAATTACAAAATTAAAAAAAAAAAGTCAGATATATAAGCGAAATTCAGAATTCAAACACCCAATTTCAATTACAATCAAATTCAAATCCCAAGAACGCCTAGGTAGATGCTTTAAATAAAAAGAGCAGTTTTTTTATGTTCGATTCTTACCATTGACTGCGGTGGCAAGTTGGTCTTGAACTTAGCCCTGACGACACCACTGTTGCCGTGGGGACGGGTGACCTTTCCCCATATACAGCGATAGTGCGTGCCATTCTTTTTCGTTTTAGCCTTGTAAATGTACGCCATCCTCTTACCTGCGTACCATCCCACCTCCTCTTTCGTGTTCACGCCCTCGATTTGCACCAGAGAGGTATTCTCATACTGGTTCGACTTCGACCTGCAAACGACAAAACGTAATCAAATCCATATAGAAAAAGTGAACCCGCAGAGTCAGACACCGAAGTTCACAAAAATGGAATCGATGACGCTTGCCTCTTGTATCCAAGTATCGTGCCGCGGACGTACAGCCTGAAGGAGAGACGATAGCTTAGAACGAGGCAAAGACAAGGAGATAGATTAAAGGGGGGGAAAAAGAATGTAGTGGCTAAATTGGGTACCTGATGCGCTCGCCTTGCCTGCCCTTCACCATCTTCCTGTGCGACGGGGCGGTGGAGCGAGACGGATCAAAAAGAGCCCTAGTAAATGACCCCTTTTTATCGTAGCTGAGAGGAAACCTGTTGAGGAAGAAGTTCTTCCGTTGAACGGTTGAGATTGTTCCCACGCTCAAATATATAAAGATTGGATTAACACTAATTATCATTGTCAGAAAAAAATAAACAATTCATTTTGAATGACAAAGGTCAATATAAGCTATTTATTTTATTTTGAATGAGCAATATTAATAATAATCAAATTTTAAAAAAATTATGTGTATCATTAATTATTTTAAATTTTAGTTTTCCAAAATTTACGGCAAAGGATGATAGGTCAAAATTATTGATATTATGTATAATCTAAGAATAAGTTGAAGGGGTTTATGAATATATGATTTTGATTAGTTTTTATTCCAAAGTAATTAACTTACAATGCCGTTAATAAAAAAAAAACTAATTTAACATTATTTTATATTCAAAACTACTAAAATTAATAATTATTCTAGTAATTTGTTTTGTTGATTAAAAAATGGCCATTAGAATACATTAAGATTTTACAAGTTAAATGAACCCTAAACCAAATCTAGATAGTAGAAAAGAAAGAAAGTCTAATTAAGCCTATCAACGAATTGATCTATAAGAGAAACGGGCCAATTTACATAAAGATTTTGAGGAAAATCTAATGCCAATCTATCTAAAATATGCGACTTTCAATTCGGGAGCACTGTTAAGACCAATAATATCCTGTTTATTGGTATTGGTGAGGATTATGATCTACCTATTTAACGAGGAGTTGGTAGTGGCTTTGTGGATTACTAACTAGTCAATAGGCTCGTCCTCTTTTACCCTCTTAATTTAATTACCTGTAACATTTTAGCACAACCAAAACAACCCAAAGTGCTCGACAAAATTCATATCACCCTTGCTAAGACATTTATTGTGTTGTTGAGGTAATTAAGCTTCCTTTTTTTTTTGTCAATTAAAAAGAAAATTCTAAATGACATTAGATGAAATTGTCACCCTTCACACATCTGCCTCATATGAACGAACTTTTATTACGTCCTCTGACCAGACGTAACTCTACGTTCGGTCAAAGGATTGTTACTCGGTATTTGGTCGGTGCTAGGTATTGTTTGGTAATAACGAGAAATATCGCTCTGTGAATATCAATACCGAGTAATCCCAAAAAATACCGAATTTTTTTAGAAAAAAAACTCGATATTTTTTAGGATTACTCGGTATTGCTCGGTATTACTCGGTATTTTATCTTCACATAATGGTATCTCTCATTATTATTGCTATTGCACCTTATTTCTCGTTTTGTGCCTGCGATCTTAGTGCCGGCCGAACATAACTCTACGTACGTTCACCGGACCAAATAAAACTTCCATAGGAACCCCTTGCAATTATGTTATTCATCATATGTACTGTTAGAAAATTGTAACATGGATCAATCATGGAGAGAAAGATTAATGAAGGGAAAATTTGTTTGAGCTATTTTCACATTATTTAGTACCTAGTTTATAGTCTTTCTGCCACCGGTGGTTACTCTTCTCCGAACAGAGCCAAACTCACATATTTCTTAAAATCAAACCAAAATAACCCTACCAGCAGTTCGGTCTTATTAGATTTTAATGTATTCTTTGAGCTCAATTTCCCCACCACCGCTTAAATTAGAACATGAAAGGCATCTGTACAACCCACTCCTGAAAGAGTCATATGGTATCTTTTGACTGGTGGAAGTTCAGTTCAATCGTTTGGGACAGCTTTCTTTTACTTGAAGCAATTTTCTATTACAAAATTTTTAAATTTTTTGTACTAGAAAACTGCTTTAAGGAGCAAAAAAAAAAAAAAAACTGTCCCAAACAAAGCCCAGATAGCATAATTGAACTTTTTTGCCTTAATATTTTTATTTTACTTATCATGATTTTATTTAATGCCATTGCTTTTGCTAAAGAATAAAACTTTATTCTTTAGCAAATACTACACATGGTTTCTTTTATCTTTATTTTCTTTTTTGTACCCTTGTTGGATTGTTTGCTTGCAGTCGCCTAACAGCACTGAGTGGATACCTGCAAAAGAGTCCAAAGTGAGATCAATAAACAGACTGTAGGAAAGGTAATATAAAACCAGAGACATTTTGGCACAATGCGTGCTACAAATACCTCATTTACAGAGCTCCAGAAAGGTTTCTCAGCAACAAATGGCCATTCAAAAGACAAGATTCTAGCATTAGAAGATATATTGTTTGTGCTCTATATGCGACAGTATACAAATTATATTAAAAGGGAAAAACTAGAACAGACCAACAGACCTCACTAATTCTTTCATCATTCATCACAGCTTTGCATTTCTTCATGTAAATTTAGCCTAAAATTCATAAAATATCAATCTAGTAATTAAAAAGGTTCAGTAGAGTCAGGCAAAATTCTTAATAGATAGCCCTGATTCCCACAGCAGGTCAGAAAAGAATTTATGGCTGACCATTCTGTTTGAGTCTTTGTGTATGCGTTGTATGTGTGAGTTTACCTTAAATAGCCTAAATGTCCAAAAAAAAAAAACAATTCTGTTTGAAAAAGATAGTGCTGAAACTGGAGAAGAATTATAATAATGATAACCACATGCACAAAACTCAAAAGGGTTTCCTTCCTACACCAATACAAGTCTCTAATGCCCCCAAGCTCAGCATTACTCTTCAGCGCACTCAAGTAAGAAGTGTTCTTGGCCAAACTTTGGTGTTTGGTTGGAAAGCTACAATCACATATTGGGATCTAAAAGAAAACTCATAATAATGAAAGAACCCCCTCCGATTCTTTTTCTTCCAAATGGAAAACGGCAAAAATAAAAATTTAAAATAAAATAATCAGAACCAAGCTGCCCTTCCAGGGAACAATAGACATTTAACTTCCACTTGGATTTTGACAGCTTCATCCGGCCCTGATAGGGGTCACGTGTGAACGAACATCTAAATGAAAGACCTACTGCAGCTCCCTTGCAAAGGCATGATAAAGAAAACAGCCCCTTTTTCCATCAAAAGCAACCTTTCACAACAAAAATTTCTCACCAAACATAATATCTTCTTCCACATCCATCCCTACGCATAATACATGTATAGGCTGTTTGCAGCCGCACAGGCAATTGAATTTTCGTTTGGATGCCATGCAAGATGGAGAAGCTTTGTTGTGAAGTCATGAGAGTTCCCATTGGCATCGGCACCAGGGCTTTCAGATCCTGTTTAGGGTTTAGGTAAGACAAATGAAAATAGGTTAAAAACGAACTGAGTCAAAATTTTACATTAGATTTACCTCTTCGAACTACTCTAGTTAGACTGCTCAGAGATCTTGCCGGTCTTGCAGGTGTTTGTGCTTGCCTTCTGCATGAGAAGGCCAAAATTATGTCACTCAAGTTAGCATGGCTTTCAATATCTTCAAAACAAAAATATCAAGGTAAAAAGTACGGTTCCTATCTGCAAATTTGCCAGCGCAAACGGCCTGGAATTTTTTCCTCATACACTGGTAAATTTCACAGTGACAGCACAAACAAAATGGCAAAATCTTATTCTGATGCCATTAATTACAGCCAGCACAAATGGCAAACAAAAAATATACACAGCCCACACTGACGCGTTACTCTCATCCATCAATTCCTATAATTGACACAAGAATTAGCATTGAGGCAGCGATCAAGAAGAATGCGAAAATGGGGAAAGTAAACAAGAGAGACGAAGAAAAGCCAATGGAACAGTAACTTGAGCGGGGAGAACTTTTCTTCTTTGTATTCACTGGTTGACTGTTTTTTCTCTACTCATTTGATTTAGATTTAGGGCGGGGCAGCTTAAGATTGATAGGAGGCCAAAAAAATCTTTAAGATATTAACACATTAGGTAATTATAGCGGTCACTAGGGTTTCCAGCATGCGCAAGAGACTAGAAGGTTTTGCATTACTATCACGCCACCCCCTTCTATTGCAATTAGATTGGGAGTTGACAGGAAGTAGCCACGCACTGCTTGCTGAGAGGTTGTTAGGATAGAGAAGCCGAGCGTAGGTTGTTAAGATGAACCTCGAGTGCAGCTGGTCTACGTTTATTGGTTGCTGATATGGTAGGACTTGAACGTTGCAGGCCATACACTGTTGGACAACACCAATGCACCTGGAAAAGGGGGCGAGTCGGCCAGATTTATAGCCCACAACCTCCATGTGGAAGGTTAGAGCATCTCCGCAAGTCTTCCTGATGATAATATCAACCCCATATCAGCACAGAGTCTATACTATGTTGAAGCAGAGCATGAGGTAATTGATAGACCGGTCCAAGAAGGTCCAGCCTGGACCAGCAATGGTACTAGCGCAGGAGGAAGGATCGAGACACTTGGGGAGAACCACCCCTTCGTGGAATAGGAGGCTATGGAGGATTTAGGGGAAACGAAGGCGATCGGAGGGTAAGGAAGTTGAAGATGCACACTGGTGGATCTACAAGGTGGAGAGATATTTCGTCGCTAACGGCTTGATGGAGGAGAAGAGGCTGACAACAAATGGCCTATGTTTGGAAGGGAAGAATTTGAATTGGTACCAATTGAGGGACGTGTAACAGCCCAAACTCTTAACTATCGAGATATTGTCCGCTTTAGCCTAAGAGCCTCACAGTTTTGTCCTATTGATGTAACTTCCCAGAAGGTCACCCATCCTATAATTACTCTAGGATGAGCACGCTTAATTGCTAAGTTTTTGAAGGAAATTCTAACCATTACACCAAAAGACGTCTCGATGTTTAAGAGTTAGGCTTTCTATTACTTAAGGGGTTTTGCAATCTCCCCCACTTAAGTAACAGACGCCCTCGTCAACATCTGTATCCTAGAATCATTCACTAGGCAGATAGGTCTCTAGAGGTGGCCCCTTCAAGTTCAAGTGGTGGCTCCCGTCATGTAGCACTTTGTCTCATACAGGGTTCAAGAGGTGGCTCCCATGGCATAGCAGTTTGTCTTGTATGACACTTAACTCCCATCTTCCGACTGGTGTATTGCTTTGATATCATTTGTGATAGCCCAAACTCTTAACTATAGAGATATTGTCCGCTTTGGCCTAAGAGCCTCACAGTTTTGTCATGGTGGTGTAACTTCCCAAAAGGTCACCCATCCCATAATTACTCTAGAATGAGCACGCTTAACTGCAGAGTTTCTAACGAAAATTCCAACTATTAAACCAAAAGGCGCATCGATGTTTAAGAGTTAGGCTTTCTATTACTTGAGGGGTTTCACAACATGCGATGACCCATACGGAGCTAGAGGGAGTTCAAGGATAGCTTATTGGAACGTTTTTGAACTAGCAAGTGATGAGACTTCTATGAGCAATTTTTCGCCATGACAAAGGAAGGTTCGGTGGTAGAATACCGGGAGAGGTTTGAGTACCTGGCTACCGGTTGGCTCGCCTTTTTGAGATTTTGTTAGAGGGGACTTCATGAAGGGACTTAAACTAGAGATACGAGCAACTGTCAGAGTGATGAGGCCTCGTGACTTGGTATAGGTTATGGAGCTAGTGCAGTTAGTGGAGGACCAGAAGCACCTACAAAGAGGGGCTAGAGGTAGCAGTTCAAGAGGTTCGTAAATGACCACCGCATTCTGATAGGAAACACTTGTAGATCACGAGTATGTACTATCAATCTTCTGAAAAAATAGCGAGAACAATGACTGGACAGCTGTCCACAGCAGGAAAACACAGAAAAACTGCAGTAAGACAACAAATTTTAAAAGGAAAACTAAAAGAAAACTCAAAGCGAGACTTGTATTCCACTAGACAGAATAAAATAGCAAGATACAATTGATCCTTAATTCGAGAGGAGAATCGATATCTCCCAAATCTCTAGACGCCGCTAGAGCCCAAAGAAAACCTAAATCTAAGATATCTCAAATTTCAGCCAAATTCAAGATGCTTAAACCCTAGGAAAATAAACTATTTAATGCATAAAAATCAAAAGGAATTCCCTAAACAGTCCCTACATTCAAATTTCACTCTTAATTCCTCCAAACTTCTTTCCTATTTGGCTCCCGCACGGTGTGTAGCTCGCTCGGCATCCCAGTGGGCGGAACTTTTCTGCCCAGTTCGCGTCTGAGCCGGTCTCGCGTGGACCGGCTGGACCAGTCCACTGGACCGGTCTAACAATACTCCCCTCCCGAAGATCCACCTTGTCCTCAAGGTGTAGATATGCTCGTGTTCCGGGGGAGGTGGCCATCCTTGAGGTGGCAGAAAATCCTTACCAACTTGCTGAAGTAGGGGTTGCCCTGAAAGAGAAACATCCCCTCCCTCCTCCATCCTGATCACATTCAGCTTGTGTAGTCCCACCCGATAAGCTTCCCCCACCTCTTATAGGCTCCTAACCATGGCCTTAAGTGATATCATAGCTTTGGATAGCCCTACATCTCCCCTTATAACCACCATTCTCCCATCCACCATTAATTCCATTGTGAGTGCTCCCCAATTGTCCTTGGTTTCTCCCAAAGTTTGCAACCATTTCATTCTCAGGATGACATCAGTACTTCCTAGCTCTAGTGGGAGAAAATCCTCCCTTACCTGAATCTCTTGGATGGTCAACACCACTCCTCTATAGATCCCCTGGCCTTTCTCCTCCTTCCATGTACCCATCATCACCCCATAACAACCGGTGTCCACCAACTTCACTCTCAATTGGTCAACGGCCTGAGTGGAAATGAAATTGTGGGTAGCCCCACTATCAATTAACACCAACACCTCCCTGCCCTCTATCTCCCTCTTCACCTTCATGGTATGATTCGTAGTGAATCCTACCACTGAGTTCAGGGAAACCTCAGCCAGATCCAAGTGTAGCTTCTCCTCCATCTCCTCCTCTGTCTCCTCCTCACCTCCCTCCTTAGTTTCCTCGTCATCGCAGACGGTGAGAACCTGAAGAGTCCGGTCTTTGCACCGATGCCCTGGCGTATACTTCTCCTCGCACCTGAAACACAACCCCTTTGCCCTCCTCTCTTGCATCTCCTTCTCTGTCAGCCTCTTGAAATTTTCCCCACTCCCTCCTCCTACTGGCTTCTCTTTGGTGGTCTCATTAATGTTGCCTGATGCAGGCCCCTTGGGTGCTATAAGAGTAGTCGTCGTCCTGTAAGAGCCTCCTGAGCTGTTGCTCATAGCTCCCTTCTCTAGATTCTTCTAAATTTCCACCAGCTCGGCCAACTACATGGCCTCCCCTAAGTCATGAGGCATCAAAACCTTCACTGCTGCTCAGATCTCTGCCTTCAACCCCTTCATGAAGTTTCCCTCCAATACCGTATATGATAATCGCTCCACCCTACTAGCTAGGTGCTCAAACTTCTCCCGGTAGTCTGCTACTGATCTCTCCTGTGCCAGAGCAAAGAAATGCTCATAGAAATTTCCTCCCTGGTCAGTTTGGAAACGTTCTATTATGCAGTCTTTGAATTCCCTCCAGTTCCTGATAGGTCTCCTTTGGTCTCTCCACTGGTACCATGACTGTGCCTTCCCCTCCAAGCATAGGCCTGCTACTGTCAGTTTCTCCTCCTTTGTTAGCCCATTAACTGCAAAGTACTTTTCCACCTTATAGATCCACCCATACTCATCTTCTCCTTCGAATATGGGCATCTTCAACTTCCTCACATTTTGATCCCCCCATTGCCTCGGATTCTTACATAGTTTCCCCTTTCCCAAGTGCTAGGTGCACCCCAAGTTTCCCTATCTTCTCTTGCCCTGCCATAGCCCAAACCCCCTTCAAAATTCCCTCTTCTCCCTTCAAAATCAGCACCCCGACGGACGTAAAATCCCTCATGGCACTCCCAATCAGCCCTTCCTTTCTCCGCTCCCCAATATCCATACCTTTCCCCATGTCAATCTCATCTTTCCTCCATATGGAAAGGCTCCACATAGGGTATTCTTCTTCCCCTTTCAACGATTTCCACCTCTTCTTCCTCCTTTCGGATTTCAGAATGGGTGTTCTTCGCTTCGGGGCCCTTCGCTTCAGATGCCGTCGTTTGTGCTTGAAGTTCCAACATTCTTTTCATCATATCCCTGAGATCGGCCACCTGCCCCTCCATGGAAGAAATTCTTTCCTCCACGATTTCTTTGATGTGGTTCATCTCTCCTTCAAGTCTCTCATCCAAAGCATCAACTTTTTTGGCCGCCATTACGAGTTGGAGTTCTTTTTCTCCATTGTGTCCTATTAAAAGTCAAATTCTCATTTAAATCTAATAAAGAAAGGTCATTCCTAATATAGCCGACCCCACGTAGTGGGATAAAGGCTTGATGTTGTTGTTGTTGTTGTATGATCTGGAGTTTGTAGATTCACAAAATCTGAATCTTGGAGTCAAAAAACAGCAACTTCCATCTTTTCCGGACAAAAAACTG